CCCCCCCCCTCTTCCGCCGCCCGCCCGCTGTGCTGCTATCGACACTGCAAAGCGCGTTTAGCGAGGGGAAAATGCACAACGACAAAAATACAGAAAACAAAAATTCAAAAAACAACCCAATATTGCTATTTATGAAGCCGATGCTACAAAATACACGCAAAAGCATTTGCAAGGACTACGCAGGAAAGGGGAAAGGGAGGAGCAGCCCACCATAAAAATGTCGTTGGCACCTCTCCACGAGAACTTTGAATGGAGAGAACGCGCTCCCAAATAGTCGCACTAAAGCTGCATTCTGGCGACCCTAAGGCAATCTTTGTTGAAGACTCCTTTGTTACATTATTTACCGCCACCTTGAGGGCGAAGGGGGGGGGGAGGGGGTAACGGTTCGGCCCCAACCATTATAAGCCGTCAAGCTGGGCTAGACAGCGTTGTTTGCACGACAAGGTAAAGAGTCTCGGCATTGGGACTACTACTACTGTGCTGCACTACTTTGAGGGCAGGGAGCAGGAGGGGGAGAGAGTTTGCCGAAGGACGTCGGCGGGCAGTCGGCGCGGCGGAGGGCGGCCGGATATTGGTTGGCAAGGGGGCGGGGCAAGGCGGGGCGGGGCGGGGCGGGGCGAGGTGGGGCAAACTGCCCTTTGGCGCCGAGCGGCCCACTTCGTGAAATGCCACGCAGAGCGAAAGGAAAGGGTTGAACCGCAAGGAGGGCGTGGCGGGGCGGGGCGGGGGAGGGGCGTACCGCGCGCGCGGCGAGGCGCAAGTCGAGCCTACCATATTGGAAAAGCGGCGAAAAGGCAAAAGGGATTTCGGTACACACACACACACACACACACACACACACACACACATATAAAGGGGAGACTTGTTTGTTCCTCAGCCACGGCGGCTCCGTGACCTTGCAGCAACAACAACACAAGCGCCACTGCTCACGCCTCACGCCGGTAAAGCACACAACAACCGACAACGTGTGGGGGGCAGGACGATTGATTTTTATTTTCCTGTTTTTTTTTTCTTCTCCATATCATTGTCACGCCGTCGCCGCAAAGGGGAGGGGGGAGGGGAGTGTTTACCAAAAAACTCGCCATAAGCCCACAAAAACAAATTAAAAAAAAAAATACAAATGAAAATAAAAATAATGACACAAAAAAAAGAGGTCGGGGGAGAGGGGCTCGTTCCGCTCATCGCGTGGGCGCTCAGAGACGCTCGATAATTATCCCGTGTTGTTTCGCTCGCTGCGGGACCAGCCTCACCCCGCCCCGCAGAGTTGGGAAAATCGGCAGAGAGCGACCGCCCGCCGCAACCGCGTGCGATCGCCTGCCGCTCGCCAGCGGAGCGCTACTCCACGCCACGCCGCTTCATTTGGCTGACTCGGAAGCCGAGTCTCGATCTCAGCATCCGAATCACACCGAAGGTGCGATGCGGGTCTGGATCAGCCAATCAGAGCCTGCCGCTGCGTGCATTCGCAGAC